GTGTGTGTGTGTGTGTGTGTGTGTGTGTGTGTGTGTGTGTGTGTGTGTGTGTGCGTGCGCGCGGATCTGTGAAGGGTCTGAGAGATTACAGAGCTCGGATGACAGAGTCCTCTGTGTGTAATCGTGGGTCCACATGCGAGTGCTCACCTTTCTTTAAGCGGATTAACCTAACGCTAAATCCCAAGAGAGCAACAGGCCAGAGAGCCACACAGAACAACTTCATTGACAACAGTCAGAGGAGAGAAGGCCAGGTCTGAAATCTTTTTTGTGGACACACAAATAATTGAAATAAATCGTCAAACAATAAAAGTAAGAAAGTAATAAAGAAAAAAAATGCAACAATGATTTAGTCACCACATCCTCAAATGAGTACAAAAATGTATATTTACATTTTTAATCCGTTCAGGACATTTCTTTCTACATATTGAATTCACTGTGAGAAGCAGCTGAGCACTAAGTGAAACACATGCAGTTTGCTTTAGACAGACAAACAAATCAGGTTGATCTGCTGTGGCAGTCATAAACGTATAACCCACTTCCCCACTGATATAGCACTTTTCAAAAGTTATTACTACCTGCGAGTTTTACATATTTCTATAACACAAGTCTTGTTAATMTCAGTATTTTGTGAATATTGCATTCATTGTGAATTAAAATGAATGTTGCCATTATTTAAGCTTAATTTATTTATAAACACTAATAAATTACAGAATCACGACGTTGTGTTGTTAAGTTAAATATTAGAAACTTTCAACTTTGTTGGGCTAAAACTAGAATATAGTGTGCTGTGTGTGAGTTTAACATAGAAACTATTAAAACAATCCAATATTTATCCCTATTATTAGGACTCATTTACACATACGGGATAAATATTCAAATTTACTTCTAAAGCAGCAGCACGTGAAAGTTGCCACAGGTTAATTACGTTGTCCTTATTAATTCAACCTCACTGCAACAGGTTCATCTGAGCCACATGAGACTGAACTGAGCTCACCTTGTAAATTTAAATGGCATTTCCTGTTGTACAAGARGTCAATCACAAAGTCACGGCGAAGGAAAATTGTAGTTCAGCCTGACAAATCGTCTCCAAAAAGACTGATTTATTGCACTGTTCTCTGTGCCTCTGCTCTGGATAAATGACCAAACTGTGCTCCCCCCTGTAGGAAATGACTGTCACATGAGCTCATCTTATTTACTGGAATTGTTTAAAAGCTGTCAAAACGCACCTTGCCCCAAAATTTAGAGAATTGTGATCAGTATTGTTTTTCAATTTTGACACGCTTTCATAAAGCCGAACATTTTTTTTTCCGCCCTGTACCTTTTTGGTGTAATTTACCTAAATATGCATCATTATGTTTTAACAGTGTGCATTTTCTTTTACATTATTTTGCTTTCTTTTACATGRTTTTAAAGTTGATTTATTCTGACATAGCATGTAAAATTACATTTCAKGTTTTTCTTTTCTAGCTTTACCTTTTAAGATGACATATTTGAGAGAAATCTGAGTTAAGGTGACTTTTTTTTTTAGTATTTTGGAGGGAGGCTTTGTGCGCCTGCATGTGGACATATAAAGCTGCACAAGGTCAATACACAGAAGAGAAATGAGCAAACACAAGACAGAGACGCATCTTCCCTTTCCTAATAGACTATAACTTGCTATTTGATGTCACCTTGTAATTATACCAGGAGCAGAGTTTGTCACCGGCTTGGAGTCGACAGAGGTCACAACAAATCGATACACGCAGTTAATGCACTTTCAGACAGCGCACGCATCAAAATAAAAGCCCTTAAGTTTGAGGTGGCRGGGAAAGAGCGCGTTTCTTGTGCGAGTGAGGGTCAAGTGTTGTACTTACTTTTGTTTCGCTTTGAAATCTTCTCCTGGCTGAAGAGAGAGGAAGGAAGGAGGGGAAAAAATAAAACAAAACAAAAATAAAAGACAAGACAAGAAGCGGTCCGCCRGCTCGTCTGGCCCGGCCGTTTGACAGGAAGGTCGGAGCCGCGCTGCCTGATGGGGACGGAGTTCGCTGAGACGCACTTAAAATCCAGGAGCGCAACTTAGCAAAAGAAGGCGCCGGGAGAGAGGGGAGGAAAAAAAAAAGTAACGTACAGTAGCTACGTGGTAGGCGTCTGTATAATATCAGAGAAAACTCCTCTCTCTCTCTCTCTCTCTCTTTCTCTCTCCTTCTCTCTCTCCGTCGCTCCCCCCACCCTCTGTGTGATCGGACAGTGTCTGCTCTGGAGGCGGTGAGGACGCTGCGCCTGTTCTCTCTGCGAGGTGCCGGTGAGCGGCGAGGGACTCGGTGGAGGAGGTGGAGGTGAAGTGCTGGAGCTGTTTCTGGTCCTTTCCGTCAGCGAATGGTCCCCTACAACCTTCTCCTGACGAGGAGAAATAATCTTTTTTTCTTCTTTTCTGCTCTCCTCTCGTCTTCTTCTTCTTCTTTTTTTTTTTTTTTGACTCCTGAAAGGGGGCGGTCTCACAAATCCCAACTCCACTTTAATGAACGAGGCATGCCTCTTTATGCTCTATTATCGCGCCAGCCCCGATAAGAGTGGACGCACAATTAACTGCTCCGAAAGGAGCACTGTAGAGGAAGAGGATGGGCTGATGTCTCCTTTAACTAATGAACCGGTGGAGAGCACTAACTTTAGTGAGCTGCCAAAGTTGAAGTTTGTGTTGTGGCAGCTTTCATTTTCACCTTTTGACATTGACTGCATGTAAGAGTTAGAATATAGCAACACTTTGGGGTGCTCATTACAAACTATTAAACAGACAAGCATAAACAAATATCCTGAATTAAACAAGTTTACATCAGTATTTTTCCACATATTAGGCCATGATAAKCAATTCTGAATTGCAGGTACATGCTTAGTGTAAACAAAGCTCTCTGCTGAACCCAAACCACATAAAGGTTTGAGCTACATATCCTATGCATCTGTTGGCAAGTGTAAAATATGCCRAAGACATTTGGGTGGAAATTTGTAAAGTGAACTGTAAAGACACAGGCTAATTTGGCAAAACTTCTGCACAACCAGAACGTTTGACCTGCCACATTTGCTGTTTCTGTAGAAGACTTGCACATGGAAATTATCAAAAAATCTTTATTCATTTAAGG